TCTAACAGCCCCAGCTGTGGGCAGGCAGCCCCAGAGACACGGTGGACTGAGGAACCCTTCCCATGAGATCGGGGGCCTCCTCCTGGCAGGACTGCTGGACAGAGAGGGCAGCATCCTCACCCCACCCGCTCCATCCTCGTCCCTCCAGGTGCGGTTCCCATCCCACTTCAGCTCCGACCTGAAAGACCTGCTGCGGAACCTCCTGCAGGTGGACCTCACCAAGCGCTTCGGGAACCTCAAGAACGGCGTCAATGACATCAAGAATCACAAGTGGTTTGCCACAACCGACTGGATTGCCATTTACCAGCGGAAGGTGGGCTGGCTGCCCCGCATGCTGAGGGGCTGGGAGGCTGAGCCAGGAAAGGGGGACACAGACAGGGATGTGGAGCTTAAACCCAGGGCCAGCCAGAAGCAGGCAGCTTAGAGCCAGGGGGTTGGAAATGGGATTCTGGAGTCCTGGGGTTACCTTCTGTGCCTTGGGTGGAAGATGCCTCAAAAGAGACATTTCCCTTGGGTGAGCCAGGCAGCATAGGAGTCTTGGGTGACTAAGAAGGGTATACCAGCAGGTGCAGTGGTGCACACCATAGTTTCAGCTACTCAGGAGGCTGAGGCAGGAGGATCACAAGTTCTAGCCACCTGGGCAACTTAGCAAGACCCTGTCTTGAATTTAAAAAGGAAAAGGGCCAGGATGTAGCTGCATGAGAGGACATTCTTAGGTTCAATCCCCAGTGTGACAAAAGAACAAAAAAGTCTGTGCCCAAAACCCAATACAGGTGTGGGTCAGGAACTCGGGTGCCCACACTGGCCGCCGCAGTGACAGCGGGCACTGCTGAGGTCTGGGCGGTTCTCTGTCCCCTCCAGGTGGAAGCGCCCTTCATACCAAAGTTCAAAGGCGCCGGGGACACAAGTAACTTTGACGACTACGAGGAGGAAGAGATCCGGGTCTCCATCAATGAGAAATGTGGCAAGGAGTTCTCTGAATTTTAGGGGTGGCCTGTGCCCACCCCCAGTTTACTCTTTCTTTTCTTTGTTTTCTTTTCTTTTTCTTTTTTTTGGGGGGGATGGGGGGTTGGATTGAACAGCCAGAGGGCCCCTGAGTTCCTTGCCTCCGATTTCACCCCCACCCCACCCTCGAGGGTTGGGGGGAGCAGGAAGCCCAGACTTGCGGGGGGGGGGGCTGCTGCTCCCCCCATTCCCGCAGCCCTCTCGCCCCTCTCCCCACGGACCCCCACCTCAGCCTACTTTGCCTGTTGGAAATGAGGCTCTAGTCTCCTCCAGACCAAGTCTTGCTGGTACATCAAGGACAGGGCGAGAACCGAGGGGTCCGGACGCAGCCCCAGCCCCCCACCTCGCACCAGACCCTATGGGCGAAGGACGACCGGAAGGCCGAGTGTCAGTGTGTCAGTGACGCGCTCCGAGGGCTGCTTGCTCTAATTTTTTAAACACAGTTTCAGATCTTATTTAAGTTCCACCAGTGCCTCCCTCCCCCTCCACCAGCTCCCCAAACCCATTTTACCGAGGCTGGGAAGCAGACTGAGTTCGTAAGGAGGAACCTGGGGTTCGAACCTCCGCCCTGAACTGCTAACCACCGCCCTGCCACCTTCCTGGGCTCCTCTGCCACCCTGCCAGGGGCTCATGCCCTCCCTGATGCCCCCAAACCCTTCCTTCACCCTCGGGCTTCGGGAGCCAGACCAAGCAGCTACCCCTCTCCTTACCAAAGAGGAGCCGTCCCCCAAAAAGAGGGGGAGCCTGAGCCCACGGTCTCCCCTCCCAGCAGCAGCCCCCCCCAAACTCCATTTTATTCTGATTTTAACATCCAGCCTCCTCTCAGCCCAGCTGGGAAGGCGACTCTACAGAAGGACTTGAAAACGGCAGAGCGCCCCCCAACCCCTACGCGGGTTCGAGGAGGGGCTGCCTGTGCCATCCACCGGCGGCTTCCGCGCCCCTGCCCGCCTGGCCGCCCCCTAGCTTTGCTGTCAGCTGTCCACCTCCTCTCACGCCCCCCCAACGTTCGATCTGTGTTTTCTCTCTAATTAGCAAGGTGGGGAGCCACCCCATTCACCCCCACCCCGTGTTCGTCCCTGTCAACTCCTCCCCAGCCGCAGAGCCCTTGAGCGGGCTGGGGCCCCGGGTGGACGCGGGGCCATTCAACCTGTGTGCTGCGAAGGGCGAGACTTCCTCTCGAACAGTGTGCTGTTGTAAACATATTTGAAAACTATTACCAATAAAGTTTTGTTTAAAAAAAAAAAAGTGTCGCTAGTGTTCCGACTTCGGCTCCCACCCACACCCTGCGGCTGGAGAGGGACTTTCGGACCCGCGCCCGGCCTTCTCCGCCAGCCCGGGGGCCCAAAGTCCCGACAAAACCTGGCTGTGTTGGAATCCTGCGGCTCCCCTCGACCCGCGGGGAGAAAGGGGGGCCAAGCTGCCCTTTGACCCCGAATCCGGGGGGATCCCCAAATTCGCGGCGCTCCCTCTCTCCTACGAACTCGGGACCGAGAGGGCGCTCTAGTGAACCGCCAAGGCCGGGATCTGGGAGGCAGAGCGGGGGCGGCCCAGGCAGCGGGGTAGGGGGAGCCCTACGCTCTCTCCACCCCGCATCCCCAGCGCTGGGCCGGCGCGCCCCCGGGTCTCCGCGGCACTCCCGAAGCGCGGCAGCCGCGGCCCGCGGGCACCGAGTTCCTGGCCGGTGCGGTCTCGGAGCGGAGCGCGC